AAATCAGGTTAATCATAATTAATTTTATTATTTTAAATCATTTTCTAACCAAATGCAGGACACATGTTTCTAAAGGTTTCTATCTCACTGAATGCAAACTCTCCCCTTGCGCAAGTCTTTTCAAACACAAAGGAGTCTTAGGATAAATTTCCAGAAGTGAAAACGGCAAGTCATTCTTAAACTACGCATTTGAGGACTTCTGTTAGGAAATCGTCCCTGCAGGAGCCCCACAGTAAGGCGCCCTCTCATTTCTCTCATTTACGAGTGTGAGACGCCCCTTCACACCCTTCCCTTAGACTAAGTACTGCAGCTCTGCAGTCCTGGCCCTGGTGGGTTCCTTCCCCCACGAAATGCTTCCTCCTCAACAGCCTGAGCACTGGCAGGCTTCAGAGTACGGGGAGAAAACGTGAAAAAGAACAAAGGTGACGTCTTCCTAAGTAGGGAAGTCATACCTTTTTGAGGTATTAGCAGGAATGTTTTTTTTTTTCCTTTTGGTAGCCAGGAAGGCGCTTAAGCCACCAGGCTACATCCCTGGTAGGAAAGTAAATTTTTGCTGAAAGGTACATGACGTTGCAGTACAAGTTCTCATATGTCCTGAGTCTTAAGTGACCCTGGAAGGCTAGGGCTAAAATGTTGGCTTTCCTTGTGGCCCTCCTTTTTCTCTAATTTTGGTCTGCAAACTTAGGTTGTTAACCCTCCAGAAGAGAAGCTTATTGTTATTATTGTACAACCTAGGCTGTTAAGTTTAACCTCACTGTCTGAATATCAAACATCTTAGGCATAACATGGAACAGGTATTTTTCATCAAGTATTGATATATTGAACTTTATGTCCCTATAGAATATGATGAAAAAACATTTAAAAATTGGAAAATATTTTTCCAATTATATACTTCTTATGTATATAGAAGAATTATATACTTCTTATGTTTACACATAAGTCCAAAAATTTAACCATATACAACCTTGAAGCAGGACAGTCTCACAATATTCCTTTTCCTGTCTCTTGCTTTCATTCACCACCCCCTTCTTTTTGAACAATCTACCTGAGAGACATCATAGCAGCAACTGGCATGTCATGACAAACAGCCCGTATTCAGAAGACCAGAATGCCAGGCACTCCAAGCATGAAACTACTATTACAGATTACCATCTGCAGTGCAGTAGCTTAGTTCACAGGTATCAGCATCTATAGTTAGTCAAGGTGAGAATCTTTCCAATTAACTGC